ATTGTTGAAATTAAGTGTATCGTAAAGTTATATTCGGAAAGAATAAACCAGTTTTATTAAGTAAGGACTTGTGTCGCTAAAGTTTCGTCAGAACGAATTTACGGAAAATCAATTAATGACTGGAGGCGTAACAAGTACTGTGATATTAATTACCAGACACTTAGGGTTTCAAATTTGACTTCTTTTCTCTATATTATGATGGATAGCACTGTCCTTTCCAGTTTCTTCCAGTGTAGTATTTAAAGGTTCAAATTTCAACAAATGAACAGGCTCAAGTTTGTTACACACTCAACAGATTTTATTTCATACATGTTCAAGTCACTGAAAACAGAATATAATGTTACTCAGCATTATCATGTGAGAATAATGGGAAGGAAATGCTAAAACAGAAAGATTTAATACTAGTGTAGACTTCTTCAGATTGTTTTGAAAGAAAAGCTGCTAAACACACACTCAAACATGACTGCAATCAAAGAATATACAACTCAGAAAGAAACAAACTACATGATCTGCACAAAGTTTTTTGGCATTATTTCCATATCAATCTAAATAATAATAGATAAAATTATATTTACATTTCTTAAAGAATGTTAAATATTCTGGATTAGAAAAAAAATAACATTTGTCAAAACTGTAGAAAAAAAATTCCAACATCATTTTAATCTTGTATAATGGTTGTCATTTAAGCCTAGGATCCCACTATGACTTTTTGCTAGTTATGTCTGAATAATAAAAACATTCGTGTTTTTGAGGCATTCTGATGAAAAAGTAGTAAGATATAATCATAAAAAAAAAGGTGATAAAACCAGTGACACAGCCAACTACTGTAACTACTACTATTTTGTTCATCATTCATGTGCATTGCTGTGTTACTGAACTACCAATAAAGTGGCTTTGAAAGAATATATGAACCCAAAATTTGTGTTCCATAAGCATGTACCACTATTATTACAGTTTCTTTCTCCCAGTTGTATAAACTATAGCTTACTTATAAAATAAACTGTTCACACACAGAAACAAGTAGCTCTCTCAACTTGGTTTAATAGTAATACAAAACTTGCTTGCAATGTAGCTGCCAAAGTCAATCCTATTAATGAAAACAAAATGGCAAATAAATAATGAAGCAACCTAAAGTAAAAACCAAGACAAAAAGTTTGTGAGCAAGAATATATATATACACCAATACCTCTTTATAAATGTCCAATTTGTTAGAATAAACTATTACTTATTCCAAAATTACTATAGTTTATCAGTTCTTTACAAGATTAAAAAAAAAGAACAAAAACATATCAGAGAAAGTATGAAAATACATACCATAAGTTTTACTGCACATTTAAAACACTCTTTTCTCTACTCTATGTTTCTCTTTTGGTTAGTATAGCTTAAATGGCTCTGTAACATTATGTTAAACTAATACTGACTTCAAAGGCCATAACTAGCAAGGTGTCATAGGAAATCAACTTTAATTCTCATAACACAATTGAGATTAAATACTTATAACATGCTCTGGAAAATTACTTTCCACAGCTTTCATATCAAACAAACTGAGACAGAGTTTTTAATATTTTATCTACATCACAAAAATGGGTGATAAAAATTCACAAATATTCAAAATACATCACATTTTAAGTATATAGGGGAAAATCTAAAATACATTAAGGAACTGTTTCTAAGTAACTAAATCTCATAATTTTCAGTTGAAATACCTTCAAGCTAAGATCAAGCATTCAAACCTTACATGTATTACATTTATGTTTTTTCCTATTCTGTCTACATCACATATATACTGTATGTTAGCCATGTGAAATTTCAATTGCAATAAAACAATCAACCTAACTTATTTTTGCCAATACACTTAGCATACATAAACTGTTGCCTTCACATTTTCACATACATTCTCAAAACATGTTTCACAATCCTTAATAATATCATACCAAAAAATCTAAAAAAAAGATATTCATGTTACACACTTATTTAGAATTAAACTGAAAATAGAGGGTTTTCATTATTAGAAAAAAACACAATAAAAATTAAATAAATTAAAATCTATACAGTGAAAAAACTCAACAAGTCAAGATGTAAGTGGATGTGAAAGAAATACATATTAAACAAAACTAAATATACTATTTTTGTTTATGTACATAAACATTTATAAAACAACACTGAACCAATTGCTTTTAGGCAAATTTACACAAAAGGAAATTTAAAAAGAAATGGCTAAACCGTTTATTCATATAAAATTTCAATAAAACACTGTTAAAGTTTTAGAAGTTCTTCATAACCATTATATAAAAAATTAAATGTTTTCCCATACATGAAATGCTTTGATACAAAAATCATTCTTCAACATCCAGATACAAGATTTGTCAAAAAATTCAAAGAATAATAAAGTGCACTTAGACAAGCATTTTAACACTTACAATACTTTGTACTTAATCAACTGAAATTCTTTTTTAAATTACATGCAAAACATATGTACATATATCCTTTCAATGTTGTA